CAACTCCGGGAGGTAGTGGAAGACAGGAGGGCCTGGCGTGCTCTGGTCCATGGGGTGACAAAAGGTCGAACACAACTTGATGACTAAACAACAACAACAACAACAACAAAATCACCAGCAAAGGTATGTATTATGAAAAGCAATTACAGAAATTTTGTGCATCAGTTTAAAACAAAATCTGAATTGTAAAAATTTCTGGGCGTACAGAAATGCACTTAAATTTAGATTTTAAAAAATTCCAGAATGATGTGGAAATAGAATGGAGCTTGTTTGGGAAAACACAAATTGTGTTAAAGGTGAAAAAGACAGGTTTTGTTGTTCGTGCTTTTTTTCCCATCTGCGAAATATTATGTGGTATATACGCTTGGGCATGTCATGAAAATGGCCAACAGTCGGATTCCGAAAGATCTCCTGTATGGAGAATTAGTGCAGGGAAAGTGCCCCGGAGGGAGACCACAGCTGCGATACAAGGAAATCTGCAAGGGGGATCTGAAGGCCTTAGGAATGGACCTCAACAGATGGGAAACCTTGACCTCTGAGCGTCTAGCCTGGAGGCAGGTGGTGCATCACGGCCTCTCCCAATTTGAAGAGACCCTTGTCCAGCAGGCTGAGGCAAAGAGGCAGTTACGAAAGCAGCAAAATCAGGGAGCTGGACAGGGGACAGATTGTGTTTGTCTTCAATGTGGAAGGGCTTGTCACTCTCGAATTGGCCTTCTAAGCCACACTAGATGCTGTTCCAAGTCCTCCATACAGAGCACGTTACCATAGTCTCTTGAGACTGAAGGATGCCTGCTACTACTATAATGTTGTGGAAGTTTACCCAGAAGTAATCTCCACTGTGCTTCATGAAGTTTTCTCCCCAGCAGATATACATGCCTTGGTTGGAGCTTCAAACAAGAGTAACAGATGATTCAATCAAATAACTCATGAATAGCTGTTATTTTTTTAAAAAAATGCTGATTTTTAATTTATTTATTTTGATTTATCTGATTATTATTCCAGACTCCATTCCTTGAAAGACTCTTTGATGTCACGGTGATCAACCTTCCTTAACTCAAGCAATGTGTTTTAAGATAGCGCAGGAAAACCGCAAGCGATTTTTCTTCCATGCTAATCAGTTAAGAGAAATCGCTGCCTTCATTAAACACATATGCCATGTCCCTCGTCTTGAGCTGCTGTAATATTTATGCTAATTGGCTAAATCACTGATTAACTGGTTGGAAGATAGTCAGATAGGTTATCCAGAAAAATCATTAATCACAGTCTGGAGAATGATCACAAGCGAAGGAACATCGCTATGAACATTGCCATGGTCTCCACTTGGTTTGGAGCAATTAACCAAGGGTGAAAATGGGGCTCAAAGATGAGATAATGTTGCTTGTCAGGCGGGGGGGCGGGATGACGAGTCTCCCTGCATGACTGCTGAGTGGAGGGGGGCGGGATGACGAGTCTCCCTGAATGACTGCTGAGTGGCCAGCTGAGTAGGAAGACAGAGGGGCTACCTCTGTGATTGGTGGGAAGAGAGGGACACGGAGGGTGAGGTGACACATGAGTGGTCGGGATGGTTCCGGGGGCCGTACCCGCATTCGTTGCAGTTGGAGCCTTGGCTATGAATACAAATATCCCCATCTTTAATTATAGATACATTTGGAATCCCTTTGTTTAAAGGTGAGAACTGGAAAACTAGATGCCTGCCTCCTCAGAATCAACCCTCTTGTAGCTTCTCACGAGCTGCCTGCCTACAGCCTAATGATAAACTCCAGTTGGACCTGGAAGGAACATGGAAGAAAACGAGGTCAGAAGACAAGCTGGGGGCTGTCAGATGAATGCCGGAGGGGGGCAACCCTGAGCCAGGATGAAACACATCCCTACCTAACTCCTGCTCTGACTCAAAGGCACCATTTTGACAAACATCTCAAGCTGTAAAGCTAAATGGGATCTACTGGGGTCTTGCATTGGTTACCTGAAGAACGCAAAGATGGTGTTCATGTATGCCTGGCAACCTGATGCTATCTATCAGGGGGAAAGGTGGGGAAGGAGTATAGAACAAGAACCTTTGAGGGGGGGATCAGCCCCCACCCCTAGAACTAGCCTCCACATGATGTCCAAGACCATGACCGTTCCTCCGGCATATTGCTGAAACTGGGGGCTTGGGTTTCTCCCCCGAGTGCCTCGGATGGACACTGGGTTTCAAGCTTCTGTCTCCTGAGGTTAGGAAAGAAAGAGCAAAACCTTTTCAGAGGTTGCTTCCCCAAACTGTCTGGCAGGGTGAACAGCTTTGTTTATGAATCCTTTGTGCTGAGAAGGGAGAAGAGCAGCAATGTTGGGGGAGGAATAAAGAGTCCTCACTAACACCGATCATTGATCAGAGATAGCAGGCCTTCTGTTCATCCTAGCTTCCAGCGGTGGGGCTTTCTGAAAAACACTGAAGGCTGGGTGAGGGCCCTCTCTTCTCTTAAAAGGAGACTGAGTACACTGGGAATGTCCAATACCTGACCAGTTGTGTGACTGCAGCTGCCCACAGCCCAAGACAGGCTAGGCAGTGAGGGGGAGTGGTGGGAGCTCCAGTTGAACAACAGCTGCAGAACCACAGGTTGCTCACCTCTGAGATACACCCATCCCCTTAGCCAAGCATCGCTCTATGCAGCCGTCTTCAGCAGGTCCGTGGATGACTCCCCCTACCCCTTGTTCAGGTTGCTGTGGCAGTAGAGGACAGCCTTTCTTGAGCCAACTCCTGAGCTGTAAGGCCACTTATTCTGATGGTAACATAGAATGAGAAGGCAGTAGGACACCTGTTCAAACAGCTAGAAGGTGAGTCATGCTATCTTTGTCTAGCCAGAAAATTGAAAGCAGCTTCCCTCTAATGGCAAAAGACTGGGGGATGTGTGTGTGTGATCTTATTTCCTGTTTTCCTCTGAGATGGGAATGAAGAAGGGTGTCAAGAGCTAAGTTATGTTCAAATAATATTAGATAAAGTTCTGCCTGGTCCTTTTGAATCAACACATAGGAGAGTCAATAAAATGGCTCAGTATTATCATTTCCTAGCATGATTGCTCCTGTTCAGCATCACTCAATGGACGGAATGTATTTCCATTTCAATTACAGAAATTACTTCTAAATTTACATCACTGCCTGGAAATTACCATACATTTTTTCGTAAAAACCCAGAAAATCCTCTTTTCTCTGCCTTTTTGGCAATCTGTAAGTAGCCACCCAACCCGTAACAAGCTGCCCTTTTTCTCCTAAACCTCATGTGACCTTTCCTACACCTCTTTCATTCCCCTGTCCCTCCTCACACTCCAACATATAGAGTGAATCTGCATTACATAGTTACAGCACAGATCTATGCAGGATCTATGCTGCCTTTCGCCAGCAGTGCCCCTCTGCATTCTACATAGGACAAACTGGACAATCTCTACACAAAAGAACTAATGGACATAAATCAGATATCAGAAATGGAAATACACAGAAACCTGTCTCAAATCATTTCGGAAATATACAGAAACCCGTCTCAAATCATTTCACTCTACCAGGATACTCTTCACAAGATATGGAAGTTGCTATTTTGGAGAGGCCTGGCGTGCTCTGGTCCGTGGGCCAAGATACTCTTCACAAGATATAGAAGTTGCTATTTTGGAGAGGCCTGACGTGCTCTGGTCCGTGGGGTCACGAAGAGTCGGACACGACTTAACAGCTAAACAACAACAACAATTTTGGAGAGAGAGAGTCAAAACTACGGAACAAAAATCCAGAGAGAAACACCTAAGATAAAATTTATACACATGCTGGACACTCACATCAACAGATTATATATCAGCCAAGGTTTCTTAAATCATTACTAAATGTAATAATTATGTTGTTATCTACCGTTATTTTCCTTTAGAACTACTGGAACAAAGCTCAAAGGTATAGTCTGCCATGCGCTACATCAGTGCTTCCCAACCTTGAGAAACCCAGGTGCTCCTGGACTGCAACTCCCAGAAATCTCAGTCAGCACAGTTGGTGGTGAATACTTCTGGGAACTGCAGTCCAGAAACATCTGGGCTTCCCAAGGTTGGAAACCACTGTCGTTCCTCTACTGTTTCCTTTAATCATATTGCTGTTTACAGAACCAGGCTTCAAAAGAACTGAATACCGAACATGGGCCATAAATCATTAAAAGGTGTGAAATACAACCAAATACCACTGTCCGGGCCATAAATCATTAAAAGGTGTGAAATGCAACCAAACACCACTGTCTCTTGAAGCCTCGCATGAATATTTCACCATGTAGTCTCTGTATCTTGAAGCCTTGCATGAATATTTCACCATGTAGTCTCTGTATTCTAAATCGCATGTCTGAAGAAGTAGACAATATTCCATGAAAGCTTGCATTAAAATATAGCAGTTAGTCCTTAAAGTGCCACAATGTCTTTTTATTTTGCTTTTGTTTTGTTTTTCTGTTGAAATCGTTACACCAGTTTATTTCCACCTTAACTCCCATGACCCTATCATTGCAGAATTCTAGGATTTGCAGTGGAGCAAGATACTGAGAAATCTGTGCTAGAGAGTTCACATGCTATAATTTGTGGGCATAAAGTACAGCTCGTTAGCAGGGAACTTTCCCTTCCCTGCCAGAAGTCAGAATACCACTGAACATTCCGTAACAATGTGACGACACATCCAATTAGTTCGAGAGTTTGCAAATGGATGGCAATCTTGTTTGAGCTAAAAATAGATTGGGCCCCTCCTTCTTCCCCAGAAAGCACTTAGAATATTTCTGCATATTCTGTGACTTCACAGTGACACAGACAGTGGCTGTCAGGGCTAGAAAACAGGCGACAGCCCAAAACTAATGCTCAATTTCTTTCATTATGACTGATCAGTGACTTTTAAGGGGTCTGCTGAAGTAAATGCCCATTTCCGAACATCTCCCTCAAAACGCACAATTCAATGGGATATAAACTGCGGTAGAGGCTAACTGCCCTCAGAGCGACCGTGAACCTAGCCACACAACTCACTTGCCGTTGATGACTCCATCTGGGTTCAGCATAGGGATGATCTTGAAGATGAAGCAGTGTCTCAGCAGATCTGCAATGGGGTCGCTACCAAGGAGAAACTCAAGTGTCCCTTTCATCACCCAGCTGGAGTTGCTCTCGCCAGGGTGGACCCGTGCCACGAGCACTACATAAGGACGTTCGCCTAGAAAACAAAAATGGTTCATTGTTGCTTTTGCAAGAAATGCTTTTCCCTGGTCCTCTTCCTGGCAGAAGCAATCAAATATCTTTTACCAAAGTAGTTGGATGTTGCAAAAGGAAAGAAGGATGTATCTTCCTTGCCGCCTCTGTTTCGCGGGACAGAACGTACGAGGAGTAAAATCTGGAGCAGTCAAAAATAACTTAACGAAGGAGTTCATAACGTTTGGGTTTTGGTCTGGACTCACCATCCAGACAGGTTGCAAAATGGGATAATTAGGAGTGCTCTGAATTGCACGTGCGCACGCGCACACATACACAAAACCTGTAGCCCTACCCCTATGTCAAAAAAGAGCAGGACAACACTGAAAAGGGTCAAAATGGATCACTCTATGTCAAAACATGTGTGGACACCATAAAGCAAACATGATCCAAATATCAAACTGTTTTGCCACTGCAGCCTTCCCCTCGGTATCTATCTATCTATCTATCTATCTATCTATCTATCTATCTATCTATCTATCTATCTATTTGATATATTTATTCAACTTTTATACTGCCCATCTGGCTGCTAAGGCCACTCTGGGCGGTTTTACACGCTCAGCAAATATGACATCAAACCACAATTTAAAACAATAAACACAATAATTATAAAATCAAAATTATACACCAACAAATTTAGCTGAAAATAATTAAAATGATATGGAGGCAAGGCAGTGGGACTGATAATATATACTTTAAAACAACCACTGTATTGAGATCTTGTAAGGTCTGGAAGGTAAAGGTAAAGGTTCCCCCTTGATATTTAATCCAGTCGTGTCTGACTCTAGGGTGCACTGCTCATCCCTGTTTCCAAGCCGTAGAGCCAGCGTTTGTCCAAAGACCATTTCTGCGGTCACGTGGCCAGCGCAACTAGACACGGAACTCTGTTACCTTCCCACCATGGTGGTACCTATTTATCTACTCGCATTTTTACATGCTTTCGAACGGCTAGGTTGGCAGGAGGTGGGACAAGCGACGTGAGCTCCCTCCATCGTGTGGATTTGATCTTACAACTGCTGGTCTTCTGACCTTGCAGCACAGAGGCTTCTGCGGTTTAACCCGCAGCGCCACCACATCCCTAAGGTCTGGAAAGGTCTGTCTAAAGAACCATACTTTTCACAATCATTTAAGAGTTCCCAGTGAAGGGGCCTAGCAGATTTCGGGCAGGAGGTAGCTCCAGAGGTGGGGAGAGACCGCTGAGAAGGCCTGGCTTCTAGTCTTTTCTTTTTGGGCCTCTCTCAGGGGTCAATGGTCTCAACCACCCAGCTTGGGAAGATTGTATAAGATGGGCAGATCTTGCCGAGAGAAGGCGTTCTGCCACGTTCAGCCATCTAGCTGCGAGGAGAGTTCTTTCCATCATCTAGCATTGAAAAACATGGCATTGCCGTGCATTCTACTACCTCAGAAGCACTTCAGCATCTCATTCAGCAGCCTGTATGGCCTTTGCCTTTTTAAAAATTTATTCTTTAGTCACTTAGGGCCTTTCATCTTCCAAATAGTATGGCACTTAAAAATACAACCTCTCCGAGTGCAGTTGCTTGTCCTGTCCATCAGACCTGGAGGCTACTACAGGTAAAACAGGGCTTCAGCCGACAGGATCCCTCATTAAGAAGTGAGCTGGCCCTTATTTGTCGTCTCATTTTAAATGACATTACTCAAAATAGCAAACATAGAGCCTCTCATTCAGGTAATGAACAGACACTTATAATTCCTAGCCCCTTTCAACGTTTGCTAGGAAGAATGAAAACAGAACGAAATATCTTTTTCCTGAAA